ACTTTCACTTGGGAAGAGAAACCTGTCAGAGCCCTTTTGAATAACACCTGCAAAGTAAAACCTCCACCACAGTTCCAGTAATACTTCAGACAACTATCCAACAGGGTTTCTCATGAGAAACCAACCAAACTGTACTATGCAATGGCTTAAACATCTGATATATGTAGCAGCAAACGTGTATTATGAAATATGGACTCAAATATGAGATTAAACCTGCCTTGTTTTCCTAAAACAAAATCACCCTAGATTAGAAAGGTGCCCAAATAGAGAAAACAACTTTCTAATTGAATGGTCATTAGGAAATACAATGGACTCTAATCAGTCAGATTCTAATCAAGTTGCCAAATACAGAAGCCACAGGATGAAAATAAATGGGGTGGGTGTGAGCACTGTTTCTTCTACTGCGAGTGGCTGGGGTACTTTTGTTTATTTTCTCTTTTAAAATTTATGTTTAGAGAAATAAACAGCAAAAACAATAAATGGCTAGCGGAAGTTGCTTCAGTGATCGTGCTGGCATACGTGAAAATCTGGTAGAATGTAAACATTTCCCAAACATATACATCAACCCGTCCATAATAAGAACTTTTCTTATTATAAGGAGATCTTATCTTGTATTTTAAAAAAATCAAGACTAAGAGTTTGAAAGAAATTATTAAGGGAAAAGTCTCTTAAGTAGAAAAACATTGAGTACTAAAATAATCTAAGGCTACTGCTAGAGGAAAGTTAGAAAAAGCTAGCACAATCTGAAAAGGTTAGCATTTGGGGGGACAGGAACTGAACATGTAGTAAGTGTTCAGGCATTGCTCTCAGAGAACTGCTCCTCGTATCTTGCTTTCCAGTTTGCTGCAACACTGCAGCACTGTGCCTCAAAAGAAAAGAGAACCATGCTATTCCCAGGTGTGTATGTGTTGTGTATGTTGGCAGGGGGTCCTTTACAGGGGGGTCCTTTATAAATCCTCATGGTAACATCATGGTAGAGTTGAACACTGTTGGTTTTAACACCAAATTGATAAAGGCATTAAATAGGACATGGGGACAAACATGACAATTTCATGAAAATAAAATGCTGTTTTTGATGCCTTATTAAATGCAAAGAAGAGTTCCACCTGCTAACACCTCCTGCATGCTCTTCTTAATTCACCTACATGTATTGGGGACAGGAAATACCAAAGCAATTCTGTCCCTTGCATTCAGGCTATTATGTATTTATGTGTCTCTTTTCTCCGGGAGTGATAGTAGGAAGGGTGTTGGAAGTGATCTGGTCTGAGATAGCATCTCAGGAATGGTTGGCTTCCACAAACACACCTATAGTTTCTGCTGGAAACGTCTGGTAACATGTACTTCAACCCAAAGTTGACAGCAATCATTTAAGACAGCAGTCCCCAGCCTTTCTGGCATCAGGGACCAGTTTTGTGGAAGACAATTTTTCCATGGATGGGAGTTTTGGGGGGAGAAGAGAGTCATCAGGCATTAGATTCTCATTAGGTCATGAGGAGTGAGTCACCTAGATCCCTATTGTGCAGTTCACAATAGGGCTTGAGCTCCTATGAGAATCTAATGCAGCTGCTGGCTCTGATCTGACAGGAGGCGGAGCTCCACTTCCCCCCACCTCCACTGCTCCTCTTTTGCTGTGCTGCACTCCTAACAGGCCACGGACCAGCACCAGTCTGCAAGCCCAGGGTTTGGAGCTCTTTGATAAGACAATTGTTTTCTGTTTAACTAAAATCTGACTTGTAACTTCTACTTTGGTTATGCTTTCTTTACATGAGAAAGTTATGAGAACCCTTCAATCACAATCTCTCCAAGTAACTGAATATAGCTATTCTGTCCCCTTTCAATCTTATTCTTTCCATATTTAACACATCCTATTTTCTAGTCATTCTTCATGGGAAGGCTTCTAGATCATTCGCCATCCTATAATTCTCTTGCAAATAAGTTCAAGTCAGTTCACTGTTCTTATTATAATTATTAAACAGATTCCACTTATTAAGAATATGCTACATCCCATCTTTGAGGCAAGTATTTTCACTTCCATTTTTTTGTTGAGGAAATCCAGGTTCAGAAAGTGGAAGGAAGTTCCTTGAAATCACACAAGTTACAGGTTGACAAGTGCGTTAGCCCTCCCCAGACTGGTGACTTCAGGGCTTTTACCACATGTGAGTAAAACACAGCCTGCAAGCAGGCTCTGTGCAGCACAGGGAACTTCCCAGGAAGCAGCCTATAATTACGCCAAAGGGTTTGACGACACTGCAGTCTTGGGTCATGCTGAGTTTGTAATAAACTTCAATGCAAAAACGAATTTTACCCGAGCTATAACTGAGTTTCACTGTCCCTCCCTCAAACACATTTCAAGGCTGCACTTGGTCCCTTCTAATAGGGGGGAAACTTTACCTCCATTCCTGCTAAATGTTAGCTTGCCAGCTTTCCTTCAGTGCCCCATACTGCCCATTTCACAATAAAACCGGATTTTGACACTTGGGGCATTAGTCGCTTTTAAAGCTTCATGTCACTTTAAAAAAATAATTGTGTTTTCGTGCCTTTTATCCAAGTCTTTGATAAAAACTTGGTTCTGAGGAGAGAGAATATTGAGGGACATATTCTCTTGGGCAATGCTTGCCCTTCTTTGTTTACCTGTTATGCCCCATGTGTCCCTTGCCAGCCATGCTTTATTTTCCATAGTTTTTCATCAAAAAACAAGAGATATTTTAAATATGCTTTTTGTTTTTTTCTTCATCCCACACCCCTAAATATGTTTTCTAAATTAGTATCTCATTGCGACCTTAAAGACCACACCACTGATTTATGATCCATTTTTCTTATTTAATCAATTGGCTACAAATAAATCTGCTGAGCTTTATCACATCCAAATTTCTCAGTCTTCTTCACAAAGATGTCAACAGCAAACACGCGTTTTTTAATACCTGTTATCTGTTGTGAAACTGAAACTATTCTGTTGGCAAAGGTTTTTATATCCCAGGAAAGAGTTACTCTTAAGAATCTGACAAATTTAAGAAAATACTTTATTACAAAGGAAAATAACTGACCAATATTGCTGTGCCACTCAAAATGTTCACAGTGACAGCAAAAGTAACACTGAATTGTATCCAAAGTTAATAACAAAATGAATATTGTATACGCAAAACCACAGTGATTATCTATAACGAACTTGAAGCGCTGGCATAAATTAAATTTTGGCAAAATGATCAACACTATGTGTACCTCGGTCAGTACTGAGGTATTATTCTCTCTACCTGAAACCCTGGAAACTTTCTTCTAGACTCTTCCATAGAACACTCTGGTAGCCATGACTAGAGGATTGTCAGTTTACCCTGTTTATTCCATTCCATAAATGCAATCAACAGAAAGTTTCTCCTCTAAGTTAAGGGAAAAAGTTTCTCCTGTCTTAGATCAATTTTTCCAGAAAGTGTTTTTATATTGGAAAAATACAATCTCTCAAGGTTACAAAAGTCCCTTAAATTTCATCTTAAAACCCAGTGAGGAATATATTACTGGATATAGCTATCCTGTCCCCTTTCAATCTTATTACTCCCCATTTCTAGAATTCACATCTGAATTAGTAATTGGGCACTTTGGTCTAAGAAGTTAGGCAAAAGAAAAGTCAGCAAATGGCAAGAAATGGATCTGTACATGGCAAACTTTACAGGGTCCTGAAAAATCCTTGCGACAACCCATTAATGTCTGCAAAGCTACAGGATGTCTAAACTGTTCTATAAATTAGTGGACTTTTCAAAAACTTTCTATGTTCCTGCGGTCTGTAGTAATTTAGTAATCCAGCCCTCATTCCCAACCTAAATAAATTTAACATGAAATAAATGTGAATCTTTTGTTGCAAGAAGAGCACTGGGTGCATGGGTGCAGTATACAAAATATAACAGGAACAACATGGGATTTGTAAGATAGAGGATGCAAAGATGAATAAACAGGGAACTTGGGAGATCAGGTGGGCTTGGTACTGGCTGGGTCATGAGAAATGAAGAGTAAAAAGGTATGAGGAGAGGACACATACACACACACATGCACTGTCTGTGGTGCCTGGGAGAGAATCCTAGTACAACCTCAAAAAAGGAGTAGTTTGTGGAAGCATGTGGTAGAAGGCACTGGCTTGGAGGAGTATGTGACGCCCCTCCTTTTATGACAAGGAAAGGGCCAGAGGCAGGAAGAATGATCTCTTGAAGTGAAGATGTTAAATCTGAAAAGAAATCACCTTGCTAAAAGCATAAGCCATTCCTTCTTGGTGCACACACAGACCTGCTTCCACAGCTTGAGTTCATGTCCTGTGTGAACTCTCCATGATATGCAGCGAACTTAACACTCATCCATCTCCATAGCTACCCACAGGTTGTGATGTTTTCATCTGCTACTTTGGTCTTGCTAAACATCCGACAAAAGGCATTCAACTGACCCCTCTCTGAGAGGAATTTTAGTTTTCTTTACAAAAAAGAACAAAGAGCAGTATACCCTCTTACACTGAAGCTGCAATGCCCATCATGATGTATGTTTTAAAAATTACTCATTCCCTGAGCAAGAAAAGGACACGGACCTTTCAAATTATCCTCCTGCCCCTGTGTACAGAATTTATGTTTCTACCATGAAACAAGTGATTTGGCCAAATATGATGCAAATATAAAAGGTAAAATTCAAGTAAATGCTACACCATAGCCAGGATATTAAAGAAAAGTTAATTTGTAAAGTCTTCAAATACTTTGTTTCCACCATAGAAAGTGTCAGAAATGTCATTGCTAAAACAAATAAAATAAGATCACATTTTACTTTTGATTATAATATTTTGGGACCCTATATGTATTTTTAGTGATTTGATCTCTTATTAGAGACTTTGGAAATAATTTTGTATTTAGATATAGGGTCTAAGTAGTTTTCCAAAGTTCTAGAAAAAAATAAAGAAGCATCTTGTATGTATTATATTAACATTCTCCAGCACTCAATATCTAGGACAAAAAGTTTAAAAAATCTACACTTACCTCTACATCACAGGTATATTCTGATCCATCCAAAAGAATCACTTTGCACTGCATGCTTTTAGGCTTTTTGACAATCTTTAATGGAGACCGAGAGAGTTTACTGCTAGATGATTTCTGAGAAAGTTTATCGTCTTCTAATTGCTGATATTCGAGCTGTTTTGCAGCCCTGGCAGCAAACTCCTGTTCCTTGTCAGTGACCTGTGAAGAGCAAACAATCAACAGTTTTCATTGCAAGACAGGAAATAAATATTGTATTGCTCAGGCAGTAACACACAACTTTAGAAACAAGTTGCTTTCTATTTCTTAGAGGATGAGAGATGCCTGAATTAGGATACTAGAAAGGGTATACATATACAGATATTCATAATGTTACATTTTACCTAAATAATTTTGCCATTTAAATTTATCAGTAGGATCTTATTTCAGTATAACTCCAGGATTTACGTTAAAAGCACTGAGATAGCAAATGCTATCAAGACAGGAAAGAAGGAAACAATTGATTCCTGACTTAAAAAACAAAAAATTGAATAGTACAGGCCTCTAAAATATATCATTTAGATATTATCTGATGTGCTCTATTTTCTTAATTCACTAGATTCTTCTATATTCCACAACTTTTTATAACTGCCTCATCCATATACATGTAAGGTACCCGATAAACTTTAAGGCCTAGAGAGCATCAAGAATTAATCTGTTCAGTAATTTTACAACTGTTAAAATATTTGATTTAGCTCTAAATCAATTCAATGAAGTCGGCAGCACTGGAATTCATCACAAAGTAATCCCCTATGTCTGCTTCCCTTCACTGTAATGAGCCAGTATAAGAACAAATCAAATCTGTCCAAAACACTTTAATCTGCTTTCAAACCACAACAGACTAGTCTAGGCCAGACACAAAACTGTAGAGGACATCCTGTGTAACAGTACAATTATCCCTTGAACCAAACCCTTGGAAATCTCTCTGTGCACTGATCTCCAACTACTCTCTCCATTCCCATCTTCTACCTATTTAAATAAACTCCAGGACTGCAAATTCAACCCATGGGCCAGAATGCCATTGTCCCTAGTCTACAAATATGCACTGATGGTCCAAAGAAAGATATGCACCAAAATTCTATTTAGGGCCTTGAAATCAGCATGAAATTTCCTCTCTTGTGAACACACTATCAGCACGGTACTAAAAATACATAGGCTGAAAACAGTAAAGACAGTATTGATGGTTTATCATTTCAACTTTTTTATTAACCTCTACAAGTTTACAACACTCTGATATAATTACAAAGGTATTCTGGTATGTTTATTTTGGATTTTAAGCACAGATTTCTGTTTTTCTGCATTCTTTATCTTGTTTTCCATTCAAAAGATTGCTAAGATAGTCCTTTTCTCCACCTTGCCCAGGAATTCAAGACAAAGTCTTGAGTTGTTCTTAAGAACAGAAAGAGACTAAACCATACACCGAGCTAATAAAAATAAACCAACAAAAGACTGATAACCAATTCCAAAGGCTAAAATGGTTAAGAAGGCTAGCTTCAGCTAAAACAAGTAAATAACCAAGAAAACTTGCTGTCGACTCCGTCCTACTTTTTTGACTGCTATCTTTCCATATCAAAGTTTTAAATAATAACTGCAAGAAAATCACTGTCATTAATATTGACCTTGATATAGTTTAAGAATAAATTTGGAAACCTTGGAGTTCTATATTAACAACAAGAACACATGTTTGCTAAGTGCTGTATTATTTATACAAGACTTTTACACATTTAACTTACATTTTTATCTCATCAAAGGCAAAGGACCATTAGAAGCTACATTTTCGTTTAAATTTTACCTAGAATCAACTTGTTCTATGTATCAGGGAAGATACTAAAGTTAAAAAGAAAATTGTGTAAGAATAAGCCTTCTGGGTTACTTTAAAATGTCAACACCAAAGGCATCCTAAATCATCATCAAGGACAGGCCTTGTTTCTGAGAAAACAAGAAACACGAACCCATCATTGAGGCTCTGACATACATTTTTAAAACTTTAACGACTTCAGAAAAGTAGATCAAGCACCTTAAATGAGATATCAATCATAGTCATATGATGCATTATAGTTTAAAAATATTGGATTTTTAGTAAATCTTCTATCTCATTTAATCCTTGTAGCAGCCCATGGCATAGGTATTATTATCCTCATTTGCAGATAAAGAAAGACACAGGAAGCCTAAGGAACTTTCTAAAGGTCACAAAATTAGTAAGTTGGAATTCAAATGCAGCCAAATCCATGTTTTAATTATCACTGCATGCCAAACACACTTCATTTTTTCTCCAACATAACTGGCCTCCTATTTTGAATCAAATAATTTTGTAGAAGAATCTTGGAAATTATCTTTTCTGAGATCTTCATTTTGTATATGAGGAAACTGAGGCCTGAAGGTTTGAATGAGTTCCCTGAGGACAGTAAAATAAGTACTGGAAGAGACAGGACCAGCTTAAGTCTCTGCCCTTTGGGCAGTCAGTCATTTTCCACTCTTAATATCACTTCTCTTCTTTTTTATTAAGCATCTGATTACAGAATATAAAGAAAGTATATTTAATCATGTCTAAGGATAGATACTCATACTTTTCTATAATTATTTCCCATTTTCATGTTATTTCATTTCAGAGTTAAGAGGAGAGAATAAAGAAAAAGTCAAACATTCAGTCTAGTAATTTTAAATTTTTGAAGATTAAAATTTTGAAGATCAAAAAAAAGAAGAAGAAAATCAATCAGGCATGGTAGCTCACAGTTTAGGCAAGACCTGGTTTCTATAAAAAGTTTAAAAATTAGCCAGGCATGGTGGCATGCACCTGTAGTTCCAGCTACTTGGGAGACAAAGGTGGAAGGATATCCTGAGCCCAGGAGGTTACAGCTGCAGTGAGCTGTGATCATGTCACTGCTCTCCAACCTGGGTGACAGAGTGAGATTCTGACTTAAAAAAATACAAACAATCCAAACACTAATAGCATCACTCCTCTACAAAAAGAAAGGGTGAAGAAAAACCATAATGACAATAGCTCTTTAGATTTTGTTTACTAAACTAGGATGGAAATTCTCAGTTCTCCATCACAAAACCTCTGAGAGCAGACAGAGCATTTATTTATAGAGTGAAAATAAGTGTTATTATTAATGTCATTTAAAAGCAGAACTTTTGACTTTTGGTTTTAAAATGGCAGCGTAGAAGCAAGCTGCCTTCACTCTCCACCCCCACACCAAAAATAAATATGCAGCACTGAGATTTTCACCAGTAACACCCTAGAATCAAATATGAGACCCCAGAGCCACAGAGAAATAAAAGAGCTCCAAGCAGATGGTAAGAAAATTGAACTTCTACATTCATAATGCCCCTCCCCCACCATTCTGCCCAGCAATATAAGTATGTGAAAAATCTTCCCCCAACTCACAGTTTCTATACTACAAAAAGTGAGAATAAGGTGGTTAACCAGCTTTCCCACATCCTGTGTTCTCTGGCAGGAGATTTGTCCTTGCCTTGACCCATGGGAAGCATCATGACTGCCTAAAGGGAGAAATATCCCTCAAGTCAGTCAGAGACAAAAGGGGGAGGTGACACTGTCATCCTCAGCCCTAGAAAGTCTGCTTTGAAATTCTGCCAGAGAAGATGCCAAATCAGCATCACCATGCTACAGAAGGTATAGTCCACAGGTCCCTTGGGCACAACCCCCTAGCCAGCTTTCCCACACTGCTGGGATAATCACTTTGGGAACTCCCTCATTCAGGACAGGCAGCACTCCAATCATTTACCAGGAGCCAAGGAAAACCTGATTTAAGGTACCATCTAGAGCCAAAAAGGAGTCAGTGAACTAGCAGTAAGGATTTATTAAGCAAATATATCCAATAAAAATCAAAATGTGACAGAGAAAACTGGAATAAATAATTCCTTTAATACAACGACATAGATGCAAACCTACAAGAAATAGCAGCAAACAGGGAACCATGACCTCCTCAAAAGGACAAAGCAAAAATCCAGTGACTCACTCTAATGAGATGGCAACTTGTGAGCTCTCTGACCAAGACTTCAAAATAGCAGTTTTAAGAAAACTCAGTGATCTCCAAAATAACCTAGAAAAGCAACTCTGAAATGTATCAGAGAAATTTAACAGCGATTGAAATAATTTTTAAAAAATCAAACAGAAATCTTGGAACTGAGAAATATATTTACTGAACTGAAGAACTCATTAAGGCTATCAACAGCAGAATGGACCAAGCTGAGAAAGAAGTGAGTGAGCTCAAAGAACACCTACTTGAAAGTACACAAGCCGGGCTCGGTGGCTCAGCCTGTAATCCTGCGCCTTTGGGAGGCTGAGGTGAGTGGATTGCCTGAGCCCCGCCTGGGCAGCGAGACCTCATCTCTACAATAAATCAAAAATCAGCCGGGCATGGTAGCACATGCCTGTAATTCCAGCTACTCAGAAGGCTGAGGCAGAAGGATTGCCGGAGCCTAGCAGGAGAGGCTGCGGTGGCCAGGAGCGGCCACTGCACTCCAGTCTGGGCGACTGAGTGAGACTCCAACTCAAAAAAAAAAAGAAAAGAAAAGAAAAGAAAGTACACAGAGGGGACGAGGAAAAAAAAAAATAAGAACAACCATCACCTACAAAATTGCCTCATAAAAACAAATCTAAGAATTGTTGATGATCAAGAGGGAGCTAAGCAAGAGAAAGGGGTAGAAAGTTTATTCAAAGAAATAATAAAAGATAAGTTCAAAACATGAGAAAGAGAAATATCCAGGTACAGGAAGGTTTGGGAACACCAAACAGATTCAACCCGAATAAGACTATATAAATCTTACTATAAGTCTATTATAAGGCATATCAGACAATCAAACTCTCAGGGGTCAAGGACAAAGAGATAATCCTAAAAGTAGTAAAAGAAAAGTGGCAAATAACATAAAGAAGTTCCAATTTGTCTGGCAACTAATTCCTCAAGGGAGCCCATACAGGCCAGGGGGGAGTGAAACAACATTTTCAAAGTGCTCAAAGAAAAAAAAAACTGCCATCCAAGAATATTGTATCCAGAAAGATCATCCTTCAAATATAAAGGAGACAAACAAAAGCTGAGAGCATTCACCACTAGCAAACTCATTTTAAAAGAAATGCTGAAAAGAACTCTTCAAGCTGAAAGAAAAGAAAAAAAAAACCATTAACACGCAAAAAGAAAATT